ATAATTTAAAATAAATTAATTTATTCCGATTAATATGATTTGATTATTACTCAAACTACAAATACAAATATTATTATTATTATTATTATTATTATTATTATTATTATTGTTGTTTTTGTTGTTGTTTTTCCTTTGATTTCTTTTGTATAAATATTTTCTTGCGGGTCCTAACAAGAGACCTAAGATGATAAATGGCTTCATGACTTCACCAGTGATCATTTTTTAAAAGAAAAACAAAAATAAAAGCAGCTAAGTTTACAAACATTTTACATAGATAAATCTCTTTTATTATTATTATTATTATTATTATTATTATTATTATTATTAATATTTCTTTTGATTTCCGATGTGTACTCATTTCTTTCCGGGTCCCGCCCAGGGACCTAAGTTTAGAAATGGCATCATGACATTGCGCATGTATTTCTTTAGAACAATTTTTTGTATTTCTTTAGAATAATTTTTTGTATTTCTTTAGAACTATTTTTTGTATTTCTTTATTGTTATTATTATTATTATTGTTGTTGTTGTGTGCTATCATCATGGGTGTGAGTGATTTTTAATTGTCTTAATATCATTCCGCCGTGTATGAAGAAAAGGGACACTGTAGAAGAGTTATTTAAGCACATTTAGTACTTTTTGTTTAGATAGAGGTGGGCTTTGCTGATTATATATGCAGTTCTGCACAATGATAACTTCTGTAGTTCACAGATGCTTTGTGCAGTAATTTTACTCACATGATTTCGGTAACTTTCCTTATTATACCGAATGCCCCTATCACAACTGGGATAATCGTAGTTTGAAGTTTCCACATCATCATCATTGTCGTCATTATTATTATTATTTTATTATTATTATTATTATTATTATTATTATTATTATTATTATTATTAAATTCACTAGTTTTAAACCAATATCTTCGCAGTCTAACATTCAAGGAGAACATCACCAGATTTTTTTTTTCTTTTACTGTTCCTAAGGTTGAGAGCTTTTACAGTTTTATGGTTAACTCACGGTCTCTTTAAGAAAGTCATTACGTCTTGTCAAGCAATCCATTGACAACAGTTGTATAGAATTCCCTAGATAACAATACACCGTTACATTTGCAGTATGTTTTCTTCTACAGGATTTGCATAGTCGGCGATTGTAACATTATTCCAGGCATAACTATCTGGCTTGTAACTGAAATCATGGTTCCACGGCGTTGTCAAAACATTAATATGACTCCATTCTGTCGCCTCGTCGGTAGCAGAGAGATTTGCTATATTGGAATTATCTTGCGGTGTTTGCAAAATGGAATTTCAGGAACGATAGCAGAGGTCAAAGCATTTTGTACAAAAATATTTGCTTTTATTTTTTAAAAATCTTCTCTTCATTACCTGTTTTAGAATTCAGTTACAACTAAATAAAAATGTTATCTTTATTATTAAAAATATTAGTAGTAATAACAGTAACCGTAGTACTTATAATATATTTTTATGATTATTATTGCAGCTTTCACTCTTTATGATTCGCTGTTCGATAACATTATTTAACAAATCTTTCAACTATGGCATGTGTTAAATGAAAAAAATCTCTCAGAATATTATTGAGAATATTAAATTGAGTGAAATTGTCCTGAGTATAACAGAAGTGCATACGTCTATAACCCTGTTCATCTACGATAAAGATGGGATTTCTGGGATGCTATAATGTGTGTAGAAGAATTCTGTTAAATGATTTCTAAACAAGGTGCTGAGAAACGGAAAATTCGGCAAAAAAAGAGAAGAGTGATATTCTTGCTATTGTTACAGAATGCAAAGGCCAGAATGGTATGCGAATGGCTGAAGTGACTCGTAGACGTGGCATTGAGACAATGACGGATTTCCTTTCTCTTGGTTTTGAACATGTCTGAAATATCGCGAATTCAACTGAGGGTCTCGAGAATTCTGATCTGTCGACATCTCCCTCACTCAGGTTTGCGACCGGCTTAAACCATCCGCTGAGCTAACGTGCGACATGCTTTCCTGTCACGTCAGTCCTACTTCTTTCATGTTTTATGTTCCGTGTACTTTCAAGTCATAGGCGATCGTGGCTCTTCACCTACTCATGTCACTTGTAGCTCTCAATAAGTTTTTTATTTTTTTATTTCTCCCAGATCCTGTTTTGCCATTCACTTGCTAATGGCCGTTGAGTATGTCACACGTTGCTTTCTCTTGTCCGTCTTTTCCTCTATGCGCCCTGTGGGTATTAGATTTTCCAAGCCATCCTTTCATATTACGTGTCCCAGAAATTTAACCAGCCTCTTACTGATGTTAAGTATTAGTTTCCTCTTTGTTTGCATCTTCTCCAAAACCTTGTTGTTCATATATTCGGCTAATGGTATCATTAGCATCCTTCTGTAGAACCACACCTAATCTGTTGGCTTGAGTTTCTCCTTCATTCTTGAGGAGATTGTCCAGAATTCGCTACGGTAAAGAAAGAGAGATATCATGGAGCAGTTCAGTACTGTTTTCTTTCTTACCAACGAATGAAGAGAAAACTAGGTGCAGCAGAAATTTGGTTTTACAGGAGCATGCTGGAAATTCCATAGATAAAGCGAATAATCAATAAGCAAGACTTAAATAAGACGGTCACAGAAATATAACTTGGTGCATTTCAAATTATATTGCAATAAATCATTCATACAAAATGAATGTATGAATGATTCATTGTAAAATATATATATATAGAGAGAGAGATATATACAGATAGATAGATTACATATATAATGAGTAAAGGTAGATATACTTATTAAATATATAATGAAAAATGACAGATATATAATTAAAAGAAACCGATATATAGAATACGAAAAGAATTATATAGCACGATAGATAAGCATCCACACTATACACACACACTCACACACACACATATATATATATTTGTTTGGATTGATGTGAGTTTGTGACCCTAGTTTCACTTTTTTTGCGATCGTCAGGGTTTATCTGACGATCAAAAGCAAAACCCAGGGTCACAAACTCACATCAATCAACCAAATATGTTAGCTCTATCTCTGATATTGAGCTCTTTCTAGTAAGTAAACGATATATATAATATATATATATATATATATATATATATATATATATATATATATACACTTTTCACACACACACATATATATATATATATATATATATATATATATATATATATATATATATTTATATATATATAGACAGATAAGTTGTTTTGAAAATTGTTAAGTAGATGAGTTATTTTCCAAAATAAGCATATAAGGTAATTGCCTTATTGTCTGTGACAAAATAAAATGAAAATATAAAATAAAAGAAAAAGGATTTCGAATATTGATTTTAAACGTACGTAGGATATCACCAACAGGCGCTACTCATTCTCGTGTCCCATTCCTTGCGGCCTTGTCAGTATGGCATTGTTAATATAAAAGTGTAAACAACTGTTTCCCATTTCTTATTGCACTTCTATTATTATTGATATTACTATTATCGTCATCAGTATTATTATTATTACGTTTTCAAAATCCATAATGACATTACTTTGACTTCGGCCAAAGCAGCGATTCATTTAAACAGTGAGGCATATAACGAATCCGCTCATTTCTCGTTAAGGCTCACTCCCTATTCCTTTCGCTATCCAATATGGCTATCGGTACGAGTATGTCGATAAGTCAAAGAAACCAAAACAAAGTATGTCTATATTTCTGAGATGAGTTATTATGTACATTATTTACAGTATTCGGACTATTGTCCTCGTCTTTGTCGCCATATTTATCACAACGTTTCATCCATCAAACATGGCACGTGGAACTAGAACAGTCTACCCGAGTGAGCGAAATAAAGGGTTTAGTTCGAAATTCCAACCACCTGAAGAAGGCCGGAGCGTACAACGGCCGAAACGTTCTGATAAATATGGCGACAAAGATGAGGACAATAGTCCGAATACTGTAAATAATGAAGCCAAAACAATAAAAAAATAAAAAAAAATAAACGCAATTTGTACCAAAAAATGCATACACAGAATTTCTTCTTATGACATATAAAAAATAAATACTAAGCAAAATAAGCTTGAAAATTCGTCTGAAACCTATTGAAGTACACTTCAGAATGATTGCAAACATGCCTCTTCATCAGTTTTACTGCAACATTTGATCCGTTCTGTAATGTTTAAAAGATATACTATGTCAAAGAACTCGTAAAGGCAAAGAAACACGCATTTGGCGGAGAATGTCCGTTTTCTGCTATTTTATTTCTCAAAGTTACTATAGAGAAATACAATTATGCCCAAAGGAATGTGCACTCGAATACGACTCCGTTTCCATCGTTCAAATACTAATAAGAATAGTCCTGTAAATAAGGGTCATAAGGGCAGCACATTTACTGTGACGCTAGGAACAGTAGCATGTGTTGGGAATTATAGCATGACGGAGCTCACCCTTCTTTAAGCGGGTTCTGAATACTGATTTTTCTTCATCCTAGAATTGGGAACACCCAAGGGATACCAGAAAAGTCTGCCCTGCTATTTTCAACATATTTGGTGTTAAATGGATGCATGTCTTTTCCAAGGGTATCAGCACGATTTGAAAGAAAGCGAATCCTGCAGGAACTGAAATCACAACATCTAATTCATTATCCGTGTCCACATTAATATTATTATTATTATTGTTGTTGTTGTTGTTGTTCTTCTTCTTCTTCGTAGTAGTAGTAGTATTAGTAGTAGTAATGCAGTAGTATTTGTTTTTTTATTGATTCGTTTGATATAACTTCTCAACCATTGCGTGTTATTTAAAGTCAGAATAAATTTTTAGATTGTAAGAAGATTTTTAGACATGATAATGTTTTAGTGATAATTAACCAATAGCTGGGTGGAAGACGACGTGGATTCTTACCTTTCCTAAACGAATTTGCGCGTAAGGGAATACAACGAACCCAACGGGAATTGGAAATCGGCACTCCGTTTAGCATTTCCAAGCCATTATCCATTACACCAACCGCACCTCTAAGATTACAGCACCTGGTATTCACAAGCAGTCACCTATCTATATACTGACAAGCTTCGCTTTGCTTAACTTTGATGATCTTATGGGAGCCGGTGTTTCAACGTGATATGGCCGGAAGACAATAATATGTTGTTTGTGATTACGTAAACATTCTTAAAAACTAGACAATTTCAACTCGAAAACATTTCTTTTTTTTCTGGAGACGTTTACACAATTCTAATATCATAAATTTCCCCATATCATACGTTCTGCTTTGAAACATTTAAATGTCGTCTAGGGTTTCATCAAAAAAGAAAATGTAAAGAGAAAAGACTTAGTTCTGTTTGAAATAATTGAAAATCTCTGCACTTGCAATAGTGTAACAGAAAAATCTACTGCGTTTGAAAATTCGGTTGGCATAATTGTTATATTACCCTGACAGCGGGGCTAAGTATACGACGATATCTAACTTTATGATTTTAGTGTAAACCAAAAACATTTTTCTTCATAGTGATTCTGACTATAATATTTTAATAAGTAATGTCCACAAAAAAATTATTATATCGTTAGATTGACCAAGCTAATTTGATCTTATATAATTCCTTCTTTCGCTGATGGTTAAATCGGTGAGGAGATTTCAATGCGTTCAATTTGTATTGATCTCCTTGGAAAAGGCATAAATCAACGATTCTCCATCTAGCAATCGGTAAAATAGTACGGCACTAACGCATATAGTATTGCTAGGGTAAATTATTATTCATTCCTTCACTCTATTCATTTCATTTTTATTTCTAACTCTTTGTATATTTTATAAAATATTTTCTTTCATTCCATCTTTCGTTAACTCTTTCGACCACTTCTTTTCTCCATTTCCATGAGATTCCATATTTTTTCTTTCATGAACGTTCGAATGAAATTTGCCTTTAATGTTTATCATTTTAATAGATTCCAACCTTTGTGAACCGAATTTTTTGATTTGATGGAATTTCTCTTTTCAGTCATGGCGGAATCAGTGAGCAGATTTTAATTATATATTCGTATTTAACGTCTTGGCAAAAGGCATAAATCTACGTTTCTCTACCTAGCAATCGGTAAAATAGTACAGCACTGAGTAATATAGCATTGGTAGGGCAAATAGTCTAAGAAAACAATTCTGAAAATGAAAACACGCCAGATGCTAGCTGTTTTTTTTTTTTAAATTTAAATTAAATTTTAAATTTTCTTGTTCGAAAATTTGCTTTTCGCTTCATGAGTACAGGCAATGCCTAAACCATGCCAATTGTTACGAGATAAATTTTTACGTGAAGTTATATTTATTAATTAGAGCCATTAATATAATTATCTTTATTCGATATTGAACTTTTTGAAGCTTTTATCAACATGTCTTTCTTAACACAAAAATGAACCAAACAATATTTACGAACAAACTCATTAGCAATTGTTTGCGGTTAGCGAGGATCCCTACAATAGTGGCTTTAAAATTAGTAAGGCTTAACGCTTTGAGGTCTGAACACCGGTTTATCGGTTGAACAGTGGTAGAGAAAAATGTCTTAGAACGGTGGTCAAACACTTGTAACTATTTTTCATATCTACCGTGAAACATTAAATACCAATTATTTGCGAATTTTGACTCAGGAGCTCAGGTCTCAAACGGTTAAGGCCATAATGTATCGTACTATTTGACGACCAAATTCTTTACAAGAGGAATGGTCTACCTGGGTAGTGTATGGATATCGTCACGAAACGTGGAATCGTCGTACTGAATTCAAATTCCAGTCTGGTCTGTTGAGTTCACTTTCACACCAATGTCATTTGGAAATGTATGATTCAGTCCCTTAACCACACCTTCAAAGTACAGTAGAGTTTTCCTTCTATTAGAGTTAGATGGTAAAAATTGAAGGAAAATTCTGAATTCTAAAACTTGGAGAAAACAAGAGAAAAAAAACGCACTGTCTTTCTCAAGAATGCCTGATAATTTACAGATAATAAGGACAAATCATGTGTAGAGAGTCGTGTCAGCTTACTTCAGAAGGGACAATCATCTTCTGTTTACCTCGGAGTTCTTACAAGATCCAGAGACGGATATGTAATATAATTGTCTCTGATCTGGCGTCTCGTCTACAGTCACTCTTTCACAGACGCGCCGTCGCCTCTCTCTGTCTTTTCTACAAATACTTTCATGGTAATTGCTCCGATGAGCTGCTTTCACTGGTTCCCAGACTCCATGAATTCAAGCGCCCTACGAGACTGGCATCCCGCTCCCACCCTTACACTGTAGAAACTTTTAAATGTAGCCGTCTCTTCTACTCCAATAGCTTCATGCCTCGCACCTCTCGCCTGTGGAACACGCTTCCCTATTACTGTTTCCCTGAGAGCTATAATCTCCAACTATTCAAATGTAATGTCAATCGACACCTCCAGTTACTTTGATCTATCCAATATCCTTCTCCTCACCCCTTCTTCTATCACTCCTATCTGATCTTGCTCCAAATCTTCTGCAACCCCCTGCATCCTAGTGGCTTCACGCCTTGCTCGGGGCGTAATGCTTAAAAAATAAATTACAGAGACTCAAATTATTGTTTTTTATATAATTTATATTTAATAATTGAATTGTTTTATTTCCTAAAATCACCATTACGTACATAGGAATGTCTTAATTAGATCTTCTAAAAGACACGTCAAGCTCCAACTAATAGATTGAAAAATAGTAAACGAATACGGAGAAAAAAATGCCGACGAATGAGAAACTTTGAAGTAGACGATGAAACACGAAGACAAAAAAAAAAAAATTAAATAACGGAACGCTAGGATAGAGGAGGAAAAATATCTGATCTAACAACTTCTATCGTGACTGTTTTTCTCGTATCCATCCCAGCATTAGTAGCATGGTTAACGTTACTTGGTTTGCAACAATCTCTCAACTGAGATAAATCATTAACAAAATACACTGACTCAGAAAATCGGCTTATGTTTTTCAATTTCTCATTAATTTGTTCATTTTCTTTTTATTTAATGAACAAAGATACAATTCATTCGTCTGCTGAATCTTTGGAGGCGAGATCTCGCGATAGCGTGCGAGAGATGGATATTTCAATGTTGAAGAATCTCCGTTCGCTTGTGACTCAGCCCACACCAGATAAAGAAAAATATGACAAGAAGAAAAATTGCATGGAATGTCTAGTGGGCACGAGAGTGCAAACAACTCAGAGTATAAACGAAGGGTTGTTAGATTCTGTCCCGAAGCTGAGATTATGTCTGGTAATTTTCCACATGTGCAAAATTACGTTCTTTCTGCTCTTAAAAATTACTGAAATTAATATCGAAAATGGCGCAATTTTTACTATCTCATTGCTTATACGGTATATACTCGAATATAGTGCCAGTTTTTTTTTTATCATTTTGTTACGAAAAAAAAAAAAAAGTAAAAGAGATTCTCCCTATATATATGTATTTTTTAAGAGGTTAAAAGTCATGCATTATTCGGTGACTTGTTGCACTATACACAGGTAATTTTATTTTCCGGGGGCGTTCTAACTCATGCAAAAAAATTCAGGGTTCGCGCTGTACATGAAATCGACTTATACACGTGTATATTCGGTATGTACATGTTGCGTAGAGCTGATTGGCATGGGTAATGGAATCATCAAGACAGGTTATTTTTTTAAATTTATGTTCAATCATGCCTCGCAAGATAAATTATTCTCACTGGGTGGCGGAAACTTTTGGCCTTGTGCTATATCAAACGCTTAGTAAAACAGCTAGTTATGTGCCATGCGTGATACATGCTTAGGCGATCATGTGTCTTTCGATACATGACTGACGAGGCAGATTTTTTCCCGGCAGAAGGATGCCATTTCTTTCTACGGTAGACCAGTTGCTATCCAAGTCTATAGAATCCGGTCTGCCCTGCTATTTACGCATAACTGGGTGGGTGGGGAGAAGACGAGGATTCCTACATTTCCCAAGGTTATTAGCACCTAAGTGAATGTAATGGATCTGAATGGAATTCGAACTCGGCTCTCCACCATTGCTTCACCGTGCCCCCAACTTAGTAAAACACTATACTGCAAATAATATTCAATCTCTGCAAGGTGGCTTTAGAACCTACGCAAGTAAACATTCTAGATTGTTCGACGATGGTACACTGGGATAAGTTCAAGAACGCCTCCAACTTCATTGAGTCTTATCTGCTGAGTGTTTGACTTCAACGTTCCTCGCTATAACGAGCGATATTGAAACTCCACTCAAAAATATGTAGTCGATCACAAAATTATTGGGCTCATTATTGTCCTGAGTAATGTCACTAAATAGAATTTCTAATAACGGCACCCTGACATTCGCATGAGTCATTGGTTGAACTGAGTTGATGAAAATAGTGGGGGTTTACGTACATAACAACTCTTTCGTTTTGCATTAAATATTCCACAAATATGTCTGCCTGCCAAGCTAAAAGATTATTAGTTAAATAGTAGAAGTGTTGACGATCTTCACGCAAAAGTCATGTGCAGTTTGATCCAAAATGATTCAAGGGAAACTCCGATCATAAAACTTATTCATAAACTCGGAAAAATGTCTAAATTTGCTAAATAGGTCTTTCATCATCTGCTCAGTCAATGTCTGGCCCTCTCCTCATCACTAAAGAGTAGAATTACTACATACACATTCCTTTGTAGATACATCATCAGTAACGAACAGCAGGTTGTCTAAAATCATATCCAATGAAATTACCAATGGTTAGGGCTCACTTAAATATAAGACATATTTTTATAGATCTAACATGATCAGCGGGTGAAACTGAATATATATCATGTGTTGTGTTTGTTGGTTTATGAAGTGAGTTCAAATTATAAAGGGTTTAAACAAACCAAAACAGTCAATGTGGAGAAGTATTATCACCAATTGTAAGTAATAAAGAAAAACGCCCATCAGTGGGTTTTGAAAAAGACATTTTTCTCTTAAATTATAATGGAAGATCAACTATTGTCAGAATCACTTGAAAAATATCAACTGACAAAATACAGAATTTTTGCTTCGGTCTGCTTACGCTCTTTCCTTTGCTCCATCTGACTAACAAGTTGTCAGAACATACCAACATTTTAAAGAGAAACTGTTTAGTAATAATGAAATGTTTAAAACT